AGAAGAAGAAGAAGAAACGTAGGCTAATTTTATGGTATCATCAAGTTGAAATGATGCATGACTGATATATTTATAGTTGAACTCTTTTTAGATAAAAGATGGTAGTTTCGGAATGAAAAAATGACCCACAAAATAATATGTGTCAACCTCAAAATGTTATGTGTCGACACTTGGAAAACAATAGTTTTTGCTTTAAGAATGTAGTACATGTGTGACCTGAAAATCGTATGTGTCGATACATGTGCATTTGTTTTAAAGCAGAAATGCTGAAAGCTTTAATATTGCAGTACATGTATCGATCTGGAAAAAATCATGTGCCGACACATAGAAATTTCAAGTCGACACATAAGTGCTGATTTTGTGCAAAAACTAATTTTTCATGATCGGGATCAATTTTAAAGTTGTTTTAAATGATTCCTTAGACCTCTAATGCACATGAGTGTCATAAGACATAAGAATATGTCCATCACACTGAAATGTTAGCTTTCTGAGTTTTGATATCATACAAAATATTTAATAGTGAAATTACACTCACATTTTTTATATATATTTCTTAACTATCGATATAATATATTTATCACTATATAAACTTTAGAAAAACTATTACTACCTAAAATACAAAGAAGCCCTTATACATTCTTTTTGTTTTTGTGACATGTGTCATTTTCTTAAGTTAATTTAGTATATATGCATGCATTATTATTTATATATTAAAATATTAATTATATCAATTTTTTAATAATATTCAAATTATTTATTTTTATCACATATCTTTCTTTGTCAAAAATACTTTCTTTAGTATAAAAACTATTGCACATCTTCATTCAAAATACTTTTTATTTATTTATTAATTTTGACTTTTTTATAATTTATTTTATAATTTTTTCATATTATTTTTATAAAAGAGTCATTTCGTTAACCCATATAAATTCCGCACATAAAAATTGTTTGGTTGTCGCTGATTAATTAGTTAAATGGTGGGTGAATATAAATGGTTTATTCAAATTATTAATTTATGAGATTTAGTTTTGAATCAATAGATTCGTGATATCAAAATAAGAAATATGATTGGTCGAACTCAACCCTACAAAACTACCCCATTTATAAAGACATCAATATATTGTATGATGTGATACTCTTAACACACCTCCTCACATCTGAGAATAAATATTTGAACCATATAAATAAATAGTGGATAGTCCGATAAGAACGGAAACCTAATAGCAAGTGATTCACCAAATCTTAAACACATAAATATGTATCATTTTATATAAGTATTTTATGGGCTCTATCAATAATCAATATAAAACTTGCTTTTTTTTCTTTTCAATAATAATCTTCAATTTAAAATTAAAATATTTTTAACAAAGTACAAATATGTATCACTAAATTATTATTATTAAAGTTGTTATTTTTTAATTACTTTCGATATGAAAATAAGAACAATTGTGTTATTCTAACTATAATTTTTGTATACTTTTACACATTAAGTTATTTGAAAACACACAATTAGGAATTAGGAATATGTTTGAATATACAATGAGACAAATATTTTGTCCTCTTTGATAAGTTAAGTTTTTTATTTTTAAAAAATTAATTAAATAAAAAAGAGAGTAATTAGGAGATACTAATTATAATTTTTTTTTTCAAAATTCAAACATCATACGTTAGTTTATTTTATAAACTTTAAAGGAATCAATATATTTTATATTAATTATATTTTTCAAAAAATGAAACATATATTTATACTTGATAATTATAAAAAATATTAGATAAATATTTAATATCGGTATATTAAAATAACACAAAATAAATAATTATGACTGATAGACGTATTAAAGACAAATACTTACCACCAATATATATAAAAAGTATTATACAAATATTGATATTGATTAATATAATAAAGAATGAAAAGTTTTAATTAATAAATATATATAATGAAAAATTAATATTTATCTTTAATAAATATAAAAGAACCAATACACATATTTTTCATGAATACATAAAAAAAACTAAATAAAAATTTGAATTAGGAAATCAAATCACCTTCAAATTTCAAAAAGTTATTTTTGATAATTTAAAGGTATATTTAAATTCAAATCATAATAATTTCACATTACAAATGTGTGATTTTCTATAAAAAAATTTTACTATTATTTAATTTTATTTTTAACTATAACCATTACTATCTCTGTGCTAAATTATTAGACACTTTAAACATTTCACACAAATTAAAAAATATAATAAATTTTATATAGAAATAAAATTTAGATATGACTTAAATAAAATTTCCTTCAATAATATAAAAGGTAAGAGAAATAAAATGAATTTGGAACAAAAATAATAAATATTCCATAATATATTAGCAAAAAAGAGTCATTAGTATTGTATTAAAATTATAAAATAATTTATGATTTAAGATAAATAATTTTGACAAAATAACTCACAATTTAAAATAAAAAGAATATATATTATTTTATTTTATTTTTAATAAATAAAATGTATTATTTCTTATATTTAAATAATATTTGACATAACAATTATATTTCTATTATTTATAACGATATTGTACGACTCATGTTAATGTACGGGTCTATTATTTATAACGATATTACACGACCCATGTTAATGCACGGATAAATGATAACTTAATTATTTCATTTATTTTTTTATACTAAAATATATATTTTCGATGGGGAGAAACGGCTTAACTTATATATTTTTATATATTTCTTAACCATTATTATATTATATTTATTTACTATTTATAACGATTTTGAACGCCAAATACGAACACACTTTATATATATATATATATATATATATATATATATATATATATATATATATATATATATATATATATATATATATATATATATATATATATAGAGAGAGAGAGAGAGAGAGAGCATGTATATATAATAGAATTTTAATATTATTTAGTTATTTATTTATTTAAGACACTTTATTTGATAAAATAATTAATATAATTAAAATATATATTCACACAGTAATTATTAAAATATTAAAATTAATATATAAAAAAACTCCAACAATATATATATATATATATATATATATATATATATATATATATATATATATATATATATATATATATATATATATATATATATATATATATATATATATATATATATATATATATATATATATATATATATATATATATATATATATATATATATATATATATATATATATATATATATATATATATATATATATATATATTAGATAAATTTGTTTTATTGTAGGTTATGGTGCATCAAAATTAAAGGTGGTAAAAATGGTGGTCTGTTCCATCCCGTCTTAAGCCTATAAAAAATGAGTAAGATAGATAAGTCCGCTAAATTGTAATAGACATAAAAATATAATCCATCCCGCTAAAGTGACAGATTGATAGACGGCGGATTTACTCGCCTATTTTTTTTTTCATTTTTATTGTAAATTAATAAATAAAAATTTACAATTCAATTAAATTTTTCATTTATTTTTAAAACAATTTTTTATAAACAATCTTTTTAACAAATTTTATTTAAAAAATATTATATACATATTCACAAATAAATATATAAAATAAAATTATCAAAAATTAAAATTATTAAAATTAACTAAAAATAACAGATTTGAAGTAAAATAGACTCAACGAAAATATGAGACAAACATTGATATAAAGTAGATTTTGGACGATGTTCTCAAAATCTCAATTTAATCTACCATTTTTTTAAATAAAATACACCGGCTGAACCGACAAACCAGAATCCGTTTTCCACCCTAATCAAAATTGTGCAATAAGATAATAAAACAGTAAAAAAACCATATCATCAATTCCATTAAAATTACAAGTCAAATTACATCAATCATAAATTTACGAATTTTAGCCCTTACTCGACACATCACACAAGTGTACATACAAGTACAATACAAACATCACACTAACGTTTTCCTTTTGAAAACAACACAAGGTTTGGAGGTTAGCACATCATTGTAGAGTAATAACAACATATATTTAGACAGTGACCATATAATATCTATGTAATTAAAAAAGATTAACTTGCTTACCAATTTTATAATAAATACCCCCTATTCTTATTATAAAATATATTTACTTTTTAAATATATTAAATAATTAATTTATAATTTTTTATTTCAAATGGCAATTAATGTATTGGTCAATTTATTTTTAGATAAACTCATTATTTAATTCAATGTATTTATAAAAAAAACTTTTTTCTTATGATAAAAAACAGAGAAAATATTTAATATTGATGAAAAATATATATAATAAGTCAAAATTATCTAAACAAAAACACTAAAAAATGATTTTTTTTTTTTTTAACTTAGAGATGTTAAAATTGAATTAGACATGACAAGTATCCATAAGAGTCCACATGAATATATCATAAATTTGTCACAAAAAATTTATTTTAATTGAATTTAAAATTTACAATTATAAAATGTGAAAATAATAAAAACACTAATATCTTCTTCAAATCTGCAAGCAAACCCATCCTATTGTCTTATTAATCTAAAACTAAAAACATGTAATATCTTTAAGAGATAATTTTATTTAAAAAAACACAAAAGCATTCTCAATTTATTTTCCACTTTGACTTTTCTCACCAATTAAAAATAATAAAATAGAATAATATGAATGATGTTTTAGCCACCCAACTATATATTATATTTTAAACTATGACTTATATTTTGAATTCAATTGAGAAAAAAAAAAATGAAACATGTCTGCTTCAGGCTTATACCTCAATACAACTTGTTTCCATGGTGTACTCTCTCTTCTCCACACCTAATTATTACTATATACCTTTTCTGATTCTTTTTTCCAGCCAATTTCCACCTTCCATGATCAAACAAATATTAATTCTTCCTTTTTTGCAAAATAATTATTTCTCTCAATTCATTTCATATTTGTCTTGTCTTTTCTCTTTTGCTTTCTTGGTTCCCCATTGACCATGGCAACTCAAATTTCCATTGATGGTGATAATAACCAAGGTGCTGGTAGCATTGAAAATAGAGTTCATATCTCAATTCAAAAGGTACTACATATTCTTCTATTCTTTTTTTTTTTTGAACTTTGGAATAACTCTTGCATATTTATTTATTTATTTATATCATTGATCATGATAATAGATTGAGAATTTGTGTTTAAGTATATGTTGAGAATTTTCCCAGAAAAAATTATAAGTTTATAAGCAATTTGGGGGAATATATTTGAGAACAGTTTTTTAAATTTTTTGGTGGTGATTTTCATTTCTCACCATATAAATTTTCTAGTCAATAGTGATATGATTCAATTGCTGATAAGAAAAATCATAATATTTTGTATGATATTTAGTGATATAGTGCTTGTGACTAGTTGAATTTGCTCCATTTATGATTGTGAAAGCTTTTAAAACTTTATTGAATTCAACATGATTGATGACTTGTCTTATTCTGCCACACATAATAGAACAACTACTTACATTACCTTTAATCTCAACTACTTTGCATATTCTTTTTGCACTCAAAAGGTGTCTATCAGTGTCCAAAACCAACACTAATATTTATCATAATGTTCAAATTTATACTAGAGTCGACGAGTCAGTGTCAATGTCGTATTTTCGGTACGTCTGTACTTCATAAATCAGTGTCTGAAATCAACACTAATATTTATGATTATGTTCAAATTTATTCAAGAGTCAATGAGTCAGTGTCAATGTCGTGTTTTCAGTGTGTGTGTCTGTGCTTCATAGATCAATAATTCCTACAAAAAAGTAAGAAAAATGCCGACAATACAGAATTTCATTCATGATCGTAGATAAGTTCAATTAGTTAAGAGTCACTTTAAATTGATTTTATTTGAATTTATCTACTTCCATAAACACTTAAGAGATTGTTTAACACAGCTCATGAAAATAGCTTATAGCTTATACGCAAACACGAACAGTTTGATGTTTTTATTTTATCTTTTGCTATAGTAAAGTGTAAACATAATCACAAAATATTTGATAAGCACTTAATTAAGTGATTTTTATTCTACTTTTTTCATTTTGTATAGGGCATGGCATCATCTGAAATAACTGAGGAACTTACAAGTGGACAAAGAACAGCTCAAAACCTTAGCATAGAGACACCAAAAACAACTCAAGAAGAAGCAAAAGAAGATTTCTTGAGAATCAACATACCTCTAACTCCATCACCAAGAAGAGTGATATTTTCTCCTTGTGCAAGTCCTGGTTTCCTTCCAAACAGTGATTCCCCTGATGCTTCTAGTTCTAAAAACAGATCAACTCTTAAAAAATCTCTTATACCAAAACTCAGTTTCAAATTCAAGAACACAACTTCTGAGATTGAAAAAGCCGCTTTCCTTGCACTCGAAGGTTCGTCCACAGTTTCATCGAAAAAGCCTTTTCTTTCTAGGACGTTGTCTCGTATCAAATTGAAAGGGAGTAAAACGTCTTCCTTACCTGTATCGCCGGTTCCTCGTTCAAATCCCGCGTCTGTACATGGCGGGAAAGCTTATCCAGCAATGGCCAGTGTAAGTATCTTAGCAACATTAGCAACATGTTACATTATAATTATCATTAATGAATTATACACCGATTGTCGTTTCAAGTTTTTCGAGGCCTCTGTAGGATAGTTATAATTTCACCAAACAAAACTAATGGATGCCTTATTTAAGCGTGATTTAACTGAGACAATATTTTATGAGACCCTATTTAACTACAGTTTAACTGTGACAAATTTTGGACCCTACGCGGTAGTCTGTCTAGCACGCCCTCAAAGACGGCCCTGATTGACAGTGGCATTGTAAATTATTTTTACACAATGTCTAATCAAACTTCACAATTGAATGTCTATGTAAAACTATTTTTTTCCATGTTAGTATGTAGTAAAAACAAAATGTGGAACACTTGTTTGATTGGATATAGTTTATGCTTGGCCCATTTTACAGGAGAAAGTTCCGCGGTTACCAATTCATCGTTCGCGATCTGTTCCTGCATTTACTGGAGAAGATACTTCTGTAGGTGGCAGGTTTCGAGTTTTTAGGATGATACCACAATTGAATGAGAAAAATTCCACCACAACATTTGCAGCATCTCCAACTGGTGAAAATGGTAATCTTAAATCATAATGACTTGAATTACGAACAAGACTAAAATGAATCGTGTTCTGTTGCATATTTGAGTTGCTAATATCTGAACTTGTGCGTGTGAGTACTATGGTTCAGTTGAAACAGAGGATGGAGGCGAAGATATTCATGAAGAAGAAGCTGTTTGTAGAATTTGTATGGTTGAATTGGGAGAAGGTGCAGAGAATTTTAAATTGGAATGTAGCTGCAAAGGTGAGCTTTCACTAGCACATAAAGAATGCGCGGTTAAATGGTTTGGAATTAAAGGTAATAGGACATGTGATGTGTGCAAACAAGAAGTTCAGAACTTACCTGTCACTCTTTTACGGCTTCATAGCGCTAGCTTGCAATCGAACAGAGGTCACTTAGACGAATCATCTCAATACAGGTAAGGGAAAAATTATCGACGTGTTTTAATTTTAGGTCTTTTATTTGGAGGGAGAATTTCTAGATTATTTTATGGTTCAATACTTCGTAAGAAAATAGAAAAATTGATCTTCCAAAAACTAATGCAGAGGTTTTACAGGGTTTGGCAGGATGCCCCGATTCTTGTCATTGTCAACATGCTGGCTTACTTTTGTTTTCTTGAGCAGCTTCTTGTAAGTTTATCTTTTAAAATTGTATATTGACGTGTCAGTGTCAATATCGTGTCTGTGTTTGTGTTGGTGTATATGAATTTCCCGTGTTATTGATGGACAGGTTTCAAGTATGGGATCCAGTGCTATTGCCATGTCGCTTCCGTTTTCATGTATACTTGGCCTTCTTGCAAGCATGACAGCTACAACCATGGGTGAGACTTATTCCATTTTCATTCATCCCGTTGATTTGAATTTGAATTCAGTATATTATATTATACCATTCATATTAATTTCTTCAAATTATTCTCAGTGAGGAGAAAATATGTTTGGGTTTATGGAACCATCCAGTTTTGTTTAGTGGTTGTTGCTGGACATCTTCTTTACTCAGTGGTAAGAAACTCTTTCTTGCAATGCAACCATACAAAACATTAACTCAAATTCTAGGAATCAAATCTTTCGAATACGAAGTATTGTAATACATGTGATACTATTTTTTTGAAACGGCACTATGACAGGCTCATATGGAAGCTGTTTTGGCAATTCTACTAGCTACATTTGCTGGGTTTGGATCTATAATGTGTGGAACAAGTATTCTTATGGAGATATTGAAATGGAGGAGAAGATGGCTTGCTCAGTGGAATCAACAGAATGGCGATTCCGCGGACGCGGTTCCGCCCGATCAATCATCTGCAACCACTATTCCAGCTCAAAGTGATTCTCAACATATTGAGAGTAATGTGGGAAATTCTCCTAGGCAAATGAGCTGACATAATGCATTTTTCATATTTTGTCGAATGGTGGCTTCATTGAGTTGTCTCAGTGACATAGAGTTTATCTTGTATAGACAAATTTGAGCACATTAGTTTTTGGTATGCCATTGTACATTTAGGAACAGAAATTTATTATGTCTGCGGTTTCTCAGCAGAAACTAAGAAAGTTGATATTTGTATACCAGAATTGTTGGGCCACCAAAGAATGGACAGGAAAAATCTTCGCACCCCCTTACCTGCATATTACACCTCATATATTTTAATAATGTCAAAAATACCTCTCTAATTATTTACCTTTTTCTAATTTATAAATAATGTAAAATCTTTTCTCTCAAAAAATTAGTAAAACGCAAAAAATATGATAGTTTTATTAGAGATTTGGTACATGTTTTTACTAGATTATTCAAAAATATTCGATGCGCAACTATGGCTTACGAGAATTGTGAGTGCAATTTCACTATTATATATTTTGCATGATGTCAAAACTAAGAAAACTTAACATTTCTGTATATTAGACGGCATCTCTGTGTCGTTTGATGCACCCTTGCATTAGAGGTCTTAGGAAGCATTTAAAACAAGTTTAAAATTGATCCAAATCATGAAAAATTAGTTTCTGTACAAAAAAGAGCATTTTTGCTTTAAAATTGCAGTACATGAGCCGACCTAAAAATCCTATGAGCCTACCTATGTACTGAATTATTAAAGCCTGCAACACATTCAACATTTTTGCTTTAAAACTGCAGTAAGAGCCTACTTGAAAATCCTATGAGCCGGCCTATGTATTGTATTATTAAAGCCCGTAGTTACTGTTTTGTATGTTCAAGCTCATAACTTTTAAGGCTGGCTCATACTGTTTTACGGGTCGTTTTTGCATATTTTTTTCATTTCGAAACTTCCATCTTTTACCTAAAAAATTTCCAACTATGAATATATCATTCATGCATCATTCCAACTCGATGATGCCATAAAAATTACCTGCAATTGCTCTCCACCTTCAACCTCTAACTTATGCATACACACTAACAAACCATTGTAACGATCTTTTGTTGGGGTGTCATCTAGACGAAGTTCGATAACGTCCAATTAGGTTCTTGTGTAGCCGAGAATATTGGATAGAGATTTGTAGGGGTCTTCATCCGAAAAAACCACATGTTTGTCCTCCAAGATCGTTGATTGATTTGGGAGTTTTCGTGCAAGACATCCAAAAGAGGATTACGACCAAGTCAAGTCCTTTGGAGATAAAGAACGTAAAGGAAGTAGCGAGAGAACGACAAATCAAATTGAAGTCTCGTGTTGCAATAGGTGCAATTGATGGTGCGCGAAAGCTTTGGAGATAAAGTACGCAAAGGAGTAACAAGATCCGGATAATCAATTGATAGCTATTGTGTCTTGGTCTTGTTGAAGATCAAAAGAAGAGAAGGGGTTGAATCAACATCAAACAATTATGGTTTGTAGGGTTGCTCTTAAACACTTCTCTTGTAATCATACTTTTTACAAAGTAAGAAAGTATCCTAATTCCATATTGGAATTGAGTGCATACGTATCCATATGCGAGGAGGAAAGTGGGGAACTGTGTAAATAAATTCTTGTGTCTCTTTTCTTTTATTGCTTTACTTGTTTTAATTTTCATACATCAATTTGTCAAATATCATTGAGTAATCTATCGACGCGTAGGAATTTTCCGAGACTATTTTTGTTTTGAATTGTGTGTTGAGTTACTTATAATCACTTTTGATTATAAGTGCTTTTTCATATCAACACAACACAAAGAAAAATTCTGAAACTTTGATTGCACACAAAGTATTTCAAAAATTATTTAGCTTGTTCAACTCAAAGGAAAATTGCAATGTTCTATCTCTTACTCTAATTAGGGATGTCAATTTACATCTGTTAATGGGGATTTGTATGGGGATTATCTGTTCGGAGCACCACAGTTGAAGATTTTTTTTTCCGTGGGGACGAGGATGGAGGGAAAAGTTCCTCCGATGACACTTTAGAACGGGGATTAAAAAAGTACCATCTACCCCCTGAATTCTCCAACTCCGAATATATTATTTACCTTTTATATTTTATATAATATATAATATATAATATATAATATATAATATATAATATATAATATATAGTTAAATAATTTTACATAAAAAATATTAATGGATTAGAAAATGAAGAGTCATCAACGGATCATTTTATTTTTATATTTTATTGTATAATGTATTGTTTCACTATCTAAGTATCCAACTCTATAAAAGTGAATTCAATACATAGAATATACACATTGTTTCCTCCTATTATTTTCTCAATTATCTTTGTCTCGTCCATTCATCGTCCCCTCTATTGTCATCATCATCACAACAACCACTCTCATTTGTTCATTGTGTTTATGATAATTACTCTTTAAATTCAATTTACTTCTATTAGTAACATGTTTTTCATTCAGTTAATAAATAAGTAATTATGGATTTCCCACACTCACGCATAATCAACCAATTGCGTTGGACGATAGAAATACTATGATAGTAAATTAGAGGAAGAATGGTAGCAACAAGTTCTATTAATTTTTATTATTATATTTACAGAAAAAATATTAACAACAAGTACTTTTGATTTTTTTTCTTATTGATGCAAGATATATTTTTATTTAAAAAAATGCAAAATATATGTGTTTTTTAAAAAGGGAAAAAAATAATGAAATAATAGTTTCATAGTTTTGATCAAAAAGTATAAAAAAAAATTTAAGATTCGATCTCCATGGATCTCCGTGAGGATCTGTGGGAATGGGGATGGGGGAAATATTCCCCCATGGCGGGGATTGGGGACGGGGATGAAAAATAATATTGGGGGCGGGGCGGGGATCAAGGAAGCATCCTCCAAATATTCTCTGCCCCGTTGACATCCCTAACTCTAATTAACTCTCTATATGCAATTTGTTGATCGATCAATTCATATAGAATTTCTCTTTGATCGTTAAAGTTTAAATTGCTTTGTTGACTATCTTATAATCACTTTGATTATAAATATTTTTTCATATCAATAAAGCTCAAAGAAAATTTTGAAAAATTGATTGCGCGCCACATGTTCGATTAATTATCTAGTTATGTTTTTAATATGATTTCATTGTAAATAGGAAACCGTTGTGCTTGATATTAAACTATTAATTGAGATATTATTATTTTGATTGATTTTATCATTATCTTAATTCCATATAGCTTGTGTATATCCAAGTTTCCAATAACTAATTTCGTTTAGATTATTATTTTGATCTAGGACAAAAAACCTTTCGCTAAACATTATTTTTCAAATAATTTTTTAAATAACCATTTTAAAAGGTAATTTTTAATTGGGGATCTATTCAAACCCTCCCCCATCACTTTGATTATAAATATTTTTTCATATCAATAAAGCTCAAAGAAAATTTTGAAAAATTGATTGCGCGCCACATGTTCGATTAATTATCTAGTTATGTTTTTAATATGATTTTATTGTAAATAGGAAACCGTTGTGCTTGATATTAAACTATTAATTGAGATATTATTATTTTGATTGATTTTATCATTATCTTAATTCCATATAGCTTGTGTATATCCAAGTTTCCAATAACTAATTTCGTTTAGATTATTATTTTGATCTAGGACAAAAAACCTTTCGCTAAACATTATTTTTCAAATAATTTTTTAAATAACCATTTTAAAAGGTAATTTTTAATTGGGGATCTATTCAAACCCTCCCCCATCACTTTGATTATAAATATTTTTTCATATCAATAAAGCTCAAAGAAAATTTTGAAAAATTGATTGCGCGCCACATGTTCGATTAATTATCTAGTTATGTTTTTAATATGATTTCATTGTAAATAGGAAACCGTTGTGCTTGATATTAAACTATTAATTGAGATATTATTATTTTGATTGATTTTATCATTATCTTAATTCCATATAGCTTGTGTATATCCAAGTTTCCAATAACTAATTTCGTTTAGATTATTATTTTGATCTAGGACAAAAAACCTTTCGCTAAACATTATTTTTCAAATAAGTTTTTAAATAACCATTTTAAAAGGTAATTTTTAATTGGGGATCTATTCAACCCTCCCCCCCCCCCCCCCCCCCCCCCCCCCCTAGATAAGTCGTTATAGTCTAACAAAAATTTCTAAAATTTGACATACCAGAAATTTCTCCCACCCTAAAAATTTAGTAGTGATATTTTTTATGGTTGTGACTGTACAAACACATATAGGGTTGTGATTGCACCTACACTTTTTTATGATCCATAATTATTTAAAACTTGTATGAATATGTTTCATATGTTGTTAACAAAAACACCATTAATGTATCAATTTTGACATCTTGCATTTGTTTAATTCAACAACGTGAGTCCTCCTTTTGCATATAGTCACAAATAACACCTCTCTTATAGATATGAAATCTAAACTGGATAATCTTTTGCGCTACTCAGATAATGGAAGGGTGGCTCAGGTCGAGTAATGTTCACCATCGATTGATACTCAAGAGAAGATTATGTTAAGTAAGTTTGAACTGAAGACAAATGAAGATCTAAGATTTATGTGGAGTGCATTTCATCGCTACACACCAAATGATCAATTGAGTTAGATGTGAAGCTTGTGAGATCTACAGACGTTATTCTGAAAATGATGAAACACCCTGAATCATATATCAATGGTTAAGTTATGTTGATGTTATATTATGTTGTGTTCATGTTAAGTTATGTTCATGTAACTATAATTCATATAATGCAATGTTAAGTTAAATGTAAAGGTGCGAGAAGCACAAGAAAGATATATTTGAATTGGGTTGCATCAAAAGTAATTTTTTTGTAACTCAAACATAAAACTAACAAGTGAATAAAAGTATATGAACACAAATATTTTTATCCTGGTTCACTGTTAACTAAGTTACTTCAGTCTACCCTGTAATATCCTTCTAAATCCAACGGAATATTCATAATTATTTAAAATAATATTAGAGTAATACAAAAAA